GGATCACCTGTTGAGAGAAAAAGAATAGAAAACAAGCAAAAAATAAATAAAAAATTTCTACATTTGTTGAGTCTAATCTTCGTGACATTTCTTTGAAATGTTCTATTCAGTTCCCTGACTTTCATTCATAGTTTTTAGTTATTCACTGAATTTCTCTAACTCCTCTCTCAATCCTTGGTATTTTTCGAGCTTCTTATGTTTGTTTTTCCTGATGTTGCTATCAGCTATAGTGACATTTATCACTACTGTCGTCTTCCTCTGGTTGTTCACCACTACTATGTCCAGTTGGTTAGCCATCACCAGTTACTCCATTTGTATCTGGTTTAGTCATTCTCAACCACCCTGGGGAGTGTATCTTATTTTGACTTCCGGGGCATAATCGGCACATTCTATTTATGCCCTGTCTGCTAGCATCTTGCACCCTGTTGTTATGCTCTGGGTTGTCTACAAACAGTAGATATATTTGCCTCTGGAAAATAAAATGTAAATGTGGCAAAAGATACAAATCAGTGAGATAGTCAGGGGCAAGGTTGTTTAAGCATTTGAAAGTGAGCAGCAGAACTTTAAAATCAATACGAAATTTAATCGGCAGCCAATGTAAGTCAGAGAGCACTGGAATAATAGAGGCAAACTTTCTAGTTCTGGTTAGGAGACAAGCCTATTCTGAACGAGCTGTAATCAGTGGAGGTGAGCGAGTTGGAGTCCAGAGTAGAGAGAGTTACAATAATCTAATCTGGAGGTCACAAAGGCATGTATCAGTTTTTCAAGATCTTTGTGCGGTATTGTTTGACCTTTGAAATTTGGTGCAATTGGAAGAAGCCAGATTTAACCACTGAGGAAACCTGTTTATCCAGCTTAAATAAACTATCCAGGCAAACACCTAGATTACTTACAGTATCTGTAAGAAAGCAAGCAAAGGGACCAAATCGGGCAGCTAGCTGGTCATGTGGAGTGTGACTATCAAACACCATAATCTCAGTTTTCTTCTCATTTAAAATGAAAGGATTGGCCACTCTGTAACCTCTTTCAAGCAGTCAGACAAACGATTCAATGAAGCTGGCAGATCATCAGACAACTGGAAATAGATTTGAATGTCGTCAGCATAACAGTGGTAGGAGATCTGATATTTGTCAAAGATAGAACCCAGGGGTAGCATGTACAAGGCAAACAGTAGAGGGCCCAGCACAGACCCCTGTGGTACTCCACAACAAAGAGGAGCAGTGGCGGACAGAGAAAGTCCTACCCGAGAGGTAGGATTTAAACCAATTAAGGACATAATCCTTGATGCCTATAACATGTTCCAGTCTAGCTAAAATAATTTTATGGTCTACCATATTAAAAGCAGCAGACAGATCCAATAAAATTAAAATGGCAGGGCAACCTGAGTCGGTGATTAAAAGAAGATCATTAAAAACCCTCAGCATTGCCATTTCAATGCTGTGGTGAGGTTTAAAACCAGACTGAAATTTGTCACTAATGTTATTTGCATTTAAGTAGGCCAGTAGTTGGGAGAGGACGATTCTCTCTAATATTTTAGATAAAAACCGACGTTTAGAGATTGGCCTATAATTTGCAAGGTCAGTATGGTCGAGGCTGGTTTTCTTTAGGACAGGTTCCACCGCTGCATGTTTAAATGCAGATGGGACACGGCCCGTGAGTAATGATACGTTTATCCATGATAAGAAATGAGGCCCAATTACATCAACCCATCCTTTAAAATCCGGGATGGGAGGGAATCATGATCCGAGTTCGAACTTCTTGACTGATCAATTATGCTTTTAAAAGTAGAAAGTCAGATTGGTTCAAACTGGTAGAAGTTAAAGACTTCATAGTATCACATCTCCCCAGCACTTTCAGAATGCTGGTTTACTTGTGGCTCCTAGAGTGTTAAAAAAGGAGAATGGGAGGCTGAGCCTTCAGCTTCCAGGCCCCTTTTCTTTGGAACCAGCTCCCAGTTTGGATTGGGGAGCCAGATGGGTGTCATCACATCTTAAAGATCTCATGGTACATTATTATCCTAAAAGAGTTTAAGTCTGAAGTTTAAAAATGTTCTTAACTATTTGCATATCCACATATAGATAAATTCTGTTTTGGCACTGTGAATTACTTTAGCCATAAAAAGGCTGGATGTTAAATCTTTTTATTCCACTTTTGGATAAACATGAGCCGAGAGATCTCAATCTCTAACTTGGCAGCACAATGGAAACAGAACGTACTGGAAACATTTAAACTGTTGTAGATTAGCACACTAATTAGAATACCATCAAATCCCACAGCAGTCCCACTGCTCCCACTCAGTAACACTACTCTCTGTGGTCTCCTTTTGACCTCTGACCCCTCAGTGCTGTTATGAAGTCACCTATTTCATTAATCCTCAGTACCCTCAGATGTAATTAAAGAGCCAGTAGTGTGACTGGAGGTGAATATCAATCTTTGAAGTGGTAATGATGTTGGCGGCAACTTCTGTCCACCCACATGATCACACCTGTCTGTCAAATTCAGCACAGCAGTGGAATTAGGAGTGATGTGTATGTGGGTGTGCTAAAGTTGCCATTGACTCAAATGGAAGATTCTTAGCTTATTTCAGTGATGCAAATTATTCATGAGTCATTTCATTAAAGTGCACTAAACTGCACTTTTCAATTAATGATAACAGGTGAAAATAATTTTAATGAAGTGGTTTTAATAATTATACTTTTAGAAGGAACTAGTGCTTTCCTGAAATAAGCAGCGCAAATATAAGTGTGCCTTATAAAAGCACTGTGTATTTCAGGGCAGAGAGCAAGCTATAATCAGTGATAAGGTCTCACATTAAGCATACATAGAAAAGTGTGAATAATGTGTGAATGTGAGCTAAAAGACCCCTTTGGTAAAACAGAGGGTTTAATAAGTTGGGTGAACCATAGCATTCAAATAATGTTGGATTAAACTAACTAAAGCTGAACATTTTAAATAGTCTTCCTGCATGGTCACAATCATAACCCCTCTCCTAACACTGTGTGGATTCTTCGGTGAATACAAATGCATCTTTACACTGCATAAAAGGAGAGAAAACAGAAATAAAAATGTTTTGCTTGTCCAAATACAGCTGTAATGAAGTTTAACAGGCAACAACACTCAATTTTTTTTAGTTAGAAATGCTATTTGAATACACCCTAAAGATAAACAAAAACAAAAACATGGTTAGACAGCACAGTCTCACATAGTTTATAATATAGTCATTTAATCTATTCATTGTATTAACATAAATTTTATTTTTTTTACAATTTACATTTTTATATTTTGTGATTGTCATTCTATAAAAAGTGAAGATTCTTCTGTTTTAAAAGGTGAAAAAACTCCACGTTTTGAGTTTGGAGGGGTTTGCATTAAAAACAATCACGTCACTGGTCACACCTTAGCTCACAGTTTGAGTGGGATAGATTAATGACATAAAAAGCAGCCGGTTAAGCCTCTAAAAACCAGTCAGGTTTAAAATAAAATTATGGTGTTGGTTAGCAAAGAATAGTTTGCTATAAACTGACATTTTTTTCATGCACACAAATTGTCTTTTCATGACTATTTTACATTTTCCTATGAAATGTGTTGGTGTTATTTTTATACCACACTGCAATTATGAGTGGCACTGATTATTATATTTTTGTTGTGGATTAAAGTCCAGTGTTTAATCCTTTCATCCACCACAACCTGATCTTAATGTGGACTTTGTTGTTATGCACTTCTTTCACTACAAGATGAGCTGCACTTTAGTGTTGTCCAAACGTGTGAGCTATGACATCCCAACTGATTTGTCAGTTGCAATAAAGTTGGAGGAACAACATCAACATAGCAACTTGGTCTCAGCTAACATGCTTTCTTTATAAGCTGAGACATGCACGCACTGAGAAGTGCAGGCAGATTCATGAAACTATATGTTTATTATTTCATAGTATAAGATCATGCCAGAGTAATAGGATTTGAGTTTAAAAATTAAAAGTGAATTCAGAGTTTCTGCTTCTGGTTTTAGTCCATACATGCTGTCTCACCTTTAATCATCTCTGTGTGAACCTTCACCAACATGAAAGCGATATTTAAAGGTTTGTGGAGTCAGAATGAGTACAGCTTTTACTGATTCCATACATCTCTATGTGTTTAAAAGATGTCACCTTTATCTTTCACTCTGTATTTTCTTCTAATTACCTATTAGCATGTTACTGCTCTCTGTTTCTCTTTGGGCAAGGAGCAATAGATCCGTTTTTTTTTTTCTGACACCTTTTGGGAAATTAATTCATTTCTTGCTAAAATGTCTTAATAATTACAGCGACATTGAGGTTAATTGCTTAATCTCTATTGAATTGGAACCATCCCGTTGAAATCCCCACACAATTTGTTCTAGAAACAGCAGCCAGAAGATCCTTTGTTACCAGAGGGGACGTTCTGACCCAAATATTTTTTTTTATTCCTTGAACATGGAGTAGGTAGCAGACAGGGAGCTCAGGTAAGCTGTCGACTGTTATTAATTCTCTACTTTGATTTCACGTCTGAAACTTGTTGTGTTGCAGAGGGAGAGAGTAGCTGACTGAGGTTTTTAAAGTATGGAGGTTCAGTGGAGGAATGTCAGCCAAGGACTCATGCTAGTACCTTAAAAATAAAAGTGCCACAGTTTGTTCTAATCTTAAAGTTCTGAATTATGACCAGAAATCACTTAATGGCAGAGCTTTCACTGAATCATAAAACTTGTCCTTCACATTTTGAGCTTCTTAATAGCCAAATGCCTTTTGTGCACAATGACAAGTAAAGTTTTAAGCATTTGAGGAGACAAGCCTCTGTCTCCATCCCAAACTCATTCAAGAAAAAAGAAAACTGCAATTTGTTTTGTTTAAGTGTGACTCTATTGTTAGTATTGATCCACAGGTCAGTTCTCCATATCTGCACGATGGCCTGCTCTTGTTTCAACACAATAATTCTTGAATTATTGTAGCATAAAAGGCAGCATAAACCTGGACTGTCCCATTAACCCCTTCACTCTATAACACATCACTCATCTGCACAGTGAACTGAATGGTGTGATTGATATGAGTGGTCATTATGTTCAGGTTCAGGCAGTGTAGGGCCCAATGATTCTGAAATCTCTGGTTCAGGCAAAGTGGGACCCACTGGCTCAAGTTCAGGTGGCTGGAGTGGTACTGGAGATAAAGAAGACTCAGAGTTCCCTGGAAGCTCAGGATTCTCAGAGGGTTTGGGCTGTGCAGGGTTCACATTCTCCTCTGATGATTGGGCCTGCTTTGCAGGGTATGCAGTCTTGTCAGAAGGTTGGGGCTGCACAGGACCCACTGCCAATTCTGGAAGCTGAAGGTGAGGCTGGGCCCTGGCCACACACACCTTAGATGCAATTATAGGTGCAGGGTGTTCAGTCTCTGGAGAGACACTGAAGACTATTGCTCCAGCTGTACAGGCAAAGCTGCACTGCTACAGGTGGAGCAACAGTCTCTCGTCAGGCCTGCACATGTGCACATTAAACTTTCTCTGGGAAGAACCAGTTCAGGAGCATAATATACAGTTCCTGAAGGTTACTAAAAACAGCTTCTGAATCAGCAGGCTGAGAAACAGAA